AGCTTAACACAGGAAGGTGCCAATGACAGAAACCGGGAGAGCATCACACAAACCTTATAGCTGCAACAGCACAGTCATCCTTCTCCCTTCCTCTGCATGCCGTCTGCCCCCCACGCACTGCACTGCCGGTGACCGCAGGTCTGTATGAGTTTCACATAGCTCATCCCGGGGGCCTCTGTGCTTGTTTACACTAGAATCTCTTTTCTTTGGGCTGGGGAGGACAGGCTGCGACCCGCATCCATTACCCATAATGTTAAAACAGTGCCCTGCCACTCCAGGATCTTCCTTCGCAGGTCTTCTATGGAGACTGCTATTTGCACTAATGAATGCTTCCTCGCGGTTATTGGGGAGGCAGCTAGGTCTTCCTGACACTCGTGGCCACCGCGCTCAGGCATGCCTGCAGGCAGCAGCGGGCCTCTGGGTAATCAATCATGGTTCCCGGCAGCGCTGTCAATCAGGAAGGCACCTGAGTGGCACCTATCGACAATTCTCAGCGTGCTGACACGGTCCCCGGGCCTTCTCCTCTCTCAGGCTCACGGTTATACAGACTTCAGGCCTGCTGTGTTCTCATCATAGAGGGGAATTGTTACATTTTCCTCTGCATGTGTTGAGTCTTCCCCTGCTTTATCCTTTCAAGATGATCACAGGAAATACAGTATTCCACACAAATGCCCCGGAGGGCTTCCCGGCCGTGTTTCAATAGATACTATTTGGTACCTCATCTCTTTTCCTTTCCCTTCCCTGTGCCCCCCTCAGACCACATTCTGCCAGTCCCTGCAGCACCCCCACACCAACTGCTCCGTCTTTGTCTCTATTTCCAACCAGGTATTTGACTTCTTCTCCGTGTCCTGAAAGCCTTGACCAACTATCCACAGGAAATAGAATTGATCTCCCCATGTCAGAATGGTCTCTAATTTTATCACCAAACTATGTTTGCAGGGACCCCACTCTCTGGGTGTTTTCGGCACCACCTAATCTCAAATGACCTGCTTCTCAGACCTGTGGTTCAAGCTTTGGCTTGGAAATCAGATCACAGCACTGGACCAGAAGCCACTCAAATTCGCTTATTTTAAGTAATTATTGTATTGACATCTTTTTCCTTTGCTCACTCAGAAGGCCATTAGCACTAGAAAAAAAGATCTATTTCAACCAGAAACTGTAGCTTTACTTTTTGTCAAATAAAAGCAAACCTCACCCTAACCGGTTTGACTCAGTGGATAGAGCGTCAGCCTCCAGACTCAGGTGTCCCAGGTTCGACTCCGGGCAAGGGCATGTACATGGTTGTGGGCACATCCCCAGTGGGGGGTGTGCAGGAGGCAGCTGATTGGTGTGTTTCTCTCATCAATGTTTCTGGTTCTTTCTCCCTTTCTCTTTCTCTCTGTAAAGAATCAATAAAATAAAAATAAAAATAAAAAATAAAAAGCAAACCTCTCTGACCACGTGGCAAGCTGGAGACAATGGCCCAGGCCCCACTAGGGACTCACGAGTACCTGTGCCCCACCCCCACCATCACCAGAACACAAGCCTGAACCCTGCCTTCAGCTTGCAAACACACATGTATTTGCACAGAAACACACGTGTGTTTACACACACACAAATGGCTAGGCCTTACCCATCCTCAAACTTATACCCGTAGAAGTCGCAGCAGTGATGGCGTGACGGACACTAAGCAATAACCTCTTTCTCTCCACGTCCCACAAGGACCCTGATTAAAGCCCTCCCTGGGCACATTCTTCACTCTGTCCACAGCAAGCAGCACCCGAGGCAACTGGAGATCTGTTAACAGTATTTGCAGCTTCACACACACACACACACACACACACACACACACACGCGCGCGCACACAAATGAGAATGTAATTGCTCTCTATGAAATCTTTCCACAGAGAAGGATGTTGGTCAGCACAAAATGCATCGGTGTATACAGCAGTCTTTAAGTGGGAAACCGAAGGAGTTTTTACTCCCGGGAATACTTCCAGGGTCACTTGAACTGCAGTGTTTGTTAAGGTGGCAGCAAAAGCAATGGTGTTAGCACAGCTGAAGAATTAAACAATAGGTCACCTGGAAACTGAAGGCAGTCTGTGCACAGGGAAAGGGGAGGCTGACATAATAACTGACAGCTATGATCACAAAGCACGTGCTGGGTTCTCGTTCATAGTCCTTACAACAGCCCCAAGAGATGGGTTCTATTGTAAGATACTCTTCCCAGAGGAAGAAACTGGGGCACGATGATGCTGGTCCCCCCAGGAGGAAGCAGTGGAGTCAGGACGCAAGCCCCAGACAGCCTGGCTCCGATGGCCCACTTTTTCATCCTGTTATTCTGGACACTCGGCCTGACTCAGCACTGTCCAGGGGAGAGGGCTGCAATGGTCTTGGATCCCAAACTCTCTGCAATAGCCTCTCCTTTGACTGTATCTCCACAAAAGAGCCTGCAGGTTATAACTTGGCCTCTGGCGTCATGACAACAAAGAGCGTGTGTAAGACCTATGAGAATAGTTTCTTCCGGTAAAATGATGACTCACCGGTGTCCTGCCTACCTCGGCCGCCTGAATCTTCAAGTTACGGAGAATCAGGCCTGGACCCTGAGCACAGCCCCACTCTGCAAACTGGGGCACGTCCTGGAACACTGCGGCTCCTCGGGCCCCAGCCAGCCCGCCTTTATATAAAATCTCCACCAGGTCCAGCCTCCAGTTTTGACTTGTTTCCCATAGACACCACCTCTCCGTGTCCCTCTTACACTAAGGGAAGCTGGCAAAGGCAAACGTGTGGAAACTTTGAGAGCCTCGCCCTCCATCGTTTCTACTATGTGCCCATTTCCTCTCCTCTCTATGTAAACATGTTTCCTTTAACACCGAAGGACTCCCCATAGCAATGCTTCTTAAAACTGGTTGACTCATGTATATCAATTCTATTAGTGTTATCACAATGCCAGCTCGCCTTTGTCCAGCGTGGGCTCTGTCAAGAAGAAATAAATGTCATCTGAGCTAGCTCCTTGATCACTATGCTATCAAAACCCTTTATATACCACAGTATATACATTTATATCTATCTTTTATCTGAAGGAAAAGGCTCTGCCAAGCCCTGAGCTTTGACCGTGTCCCCACAGGTCACAAAGGCATGTCCCGCCCACCCCTTTCTAAGGACCCGCCTCCGAGGGCATGGCCTGATTCCACAGGCAGGGTCTGTGAACCAAGAGAAGTCTTTCTCTTTTTTTAATATTTTTTTATTGATTTCAGAGAGGAAGGAAGAGGGAGAGATAGAAACATCAATGGTGAAGAGAATTAATAATTGACTGCCTTCTGCACACCCCACATTGGGAATCCAGCCCGAAATCTAGACATGTGTCCCTACTGGGACTTGAATCTGGTGACCTCCTGGTTCACAGGTCAATGCTCAACCACTGAGCCATGCCAGCTGGGTGGGGGCTCATCTTAACACTCACGACCACTAATCAGGACCTGATGTGAAGAAGTGAGCATGGCCATCAGCCTGCTATCTTCGCAACCTGACGGGGAAACACTGGAAGGCAAGGTTAGAGAGTGACAATGCTGAGGGTTTAGGGCACAGGAGGATGGGCTTGAGCCTGGACAAGCCATCAGCACATTGACATTGCAAGGGGATAGAAGGTCATAGTAGTTTAAAAAGGGTCAAGAAGCTGTGTGGAAAAGAAGAGATGAGAACGGAGAAGACACATGTGGAAAAGCATGTGCCAAGTAGTCCTGGTTTTCAGGATTAGAAACACAGTAAAGGAAGAATGAAGGATGCAGGGGGGTTGGTAGGAGGAAAGTAAGAGCCCCAGAGATCCAGGGAAATTAGGAATGAGTAAACAACTGGCCCAATCAGAGGTGTGACATGATATCCTCTCATTTTTGCCTTAAGCACCTGTGTGTCATATTTCCTGAAGAAAGAAGAAAGAAAGAAAGAAAAGAGATAAAGAGAGAGAGAGAGAGAGAGAGAGAGAGAGAGAGAGAGAGAGAGAGAGAAGAAAGGAGGGAGGGAGGGAGAAATAAAGGGAGGAAAGGAGGGGGAAAGGGAGGGAAAGAGGAGGATGGGAAGGAGGGAGGAAGTGGCAGGGAGGAGGATGGCAGGGAGGCAGGCAGAGAGAAAGGGAAGGAAGGAAACACTGATACCTTGTATAACACATGTAATGTCCTAAATTCTCACCAAGGACAAACCTGCCCCACAGGACAGTTGAGTTTCTCACCTAGTCTCAACTAGAATAAGAAAGAATCTTTCCTGCCAGGGATGGATTTATATTTTGTCCTGGTGACAAGATTTATGTAGCTGATCACATACCAGACAAAGTAAAGGCAGCACCATGATGGGCTACAAGTTTTATTGGTGTGAGCAGAATACATAGAGGCCTAACGTTCACTGCATTTTTCTAGACAAGGCCTGCAGTCAACGCACTACATCATCGCCTGCCGCAGTGCCCTGTCACTTCCATCTAATATCGTGCCCGATGCTCGGTCCTCACCCCAATCCTTAGGTTCTTCCATTTCCTCCCCACCCTGAGCCAGGATTGGGTCTGAAACTCTCCAGTTTCCAGGAAGTTTCCCTTTCCACACAAAGCAAGCACATTTCTTTCCATCACAACTGCTCACATGAGCACCTTTCGCCCTTCTTGCTGAATTCCCTACTTTCATTGGGGATGCTGGACATCGAGGGAGGTTACAGAAAACTCAAATCAAAAGCAAAACGAAAACACAGTCTCCGGACCCTGCAGCGTGGACAGAAGTGGCTCCTTTGAGGAGCTGCGAACACAATGGCGAAAACGCTGCCGCTGGCACGCGGCCCGCGGTCTCGTTCCTTCGCCGCCCTGCCCAGAGGTCAGGCATCAGTGTTGGTATTGAACGCCCACCGAGTTGGTAAGTGTTTAAAACGGTTCATATCGGCCTTCGGGAAAGCCACAGGGGAGGGAGGGTGGGTCTGTTTAACACAGCGTGTGCCTTTCTAACCAGCCAGCGACAAGTTGCAGAAAGCAGTTACACGGGTACTTACTATTTATAACTCATGGCCACGTCCACAAAATACTTTCTTCTCTGTCGATAGACGTTGTCCTTAAATCCCTTAAACAGAAGAGAGATGACGTTATTTTACGGAGCGCCAAAAAAGTGAGCGGCAGAGGGCCTCAGAGACAATTGCTGTGGTGCTGACTGAAACTCAATTCACATGTAAATTGAATTGAGTGACACAGGCAGAAGCGAGCTGTGCTTACCACAGTACAACCTCATTCAACCGGGACTGTGCTCATTTGGGATGTGTGGGAATTCAGGCTAAAGTCTACCTTTCCACTAAGTGGGCAGGATGGCTTAGTTAAGCAAATTGATACTGTGGACTATATCTTTTTGTTTTCATTTGCATGTAATTGATCTTCATCATAAATTAATATTATCCTTTCCATTAAAACAGGTCCCTTTAACCTGATTATTCAGTGAGTTAACCTAAATTGAATTTCTTTGTGTAAATGGTCAATAAATGTTCATTTATTTAAAACTCATTCATTCACAATAATTATCAAATTCCCAAATTAGCATGAGTTCAAGAGGTTTTGCTGTATCTTAGGAGTATGGCCACACGATACAAAACCAATTTTAAGGGATTCATGCACAAGAGAGCGAGTCCGCTCCATTCCACCCTGAGCCCCCAGGAGTCTGATGAGTTTTTAGCAACTTCATTGTCATAACACCTGGGAAATTAAACAGCCTGCCTGCCATTCTTCAATCAAGTGCAATCCTTCTGAGAGGACTTCTGGCTTTACTCAAAAATATCTCCTCTTGTCGATAGGCTTTCCATTTTCTTTCTCTTCAGAGGGTGTTTCTTCAAAGTGCTGGGAGCCCAGAAGGGATTATTTCTATTTAACTTTCTATTGATGCAGCCTCAAAAGAGAGGCAGGCAGCAGCGGCCACTCTGGGAAGGGAGGCCAGGCAAGAGGACAGGCCACTGAGATCTGAGGTCTGAGAGGGGAGCTGCCACAGCCCACACAGGCCCTCACAGGCCCACACAGGCTCACATGGGCCCACACCGGCTCACATGAGCCCTCACAGACCCACACGGGCCCACACAGACCCACATGGACCCACATGAGCCCACACGGCCCACACAAGCCCACACGGGCCCACACAGGCCACACAACTCACATGGGCCCAGCCGCCCTCTGCTGCAACTTCTGCAAGGTTCAACAGTAACTCAAACTCATAGACAACTGTTACATTCTCTCTCCTGGCTGAAGAATTGGCCTTCAAGCCAGAAACCTTTCCAGGATCCTGCTGGACAGAAACGGAGAGCTTCAATCGCCAACAGCCTTTCTCTCGGGGAAAGCACAAGAGAGTTCCCGAAGGGGAAGGAAATGAGGGCCCTGAGATCACCCAGACATCCTGCAGCCATGAAGCTCCCTGCCCTGGAAGCTGGCACTTTCTTCCTTTCGCTATGAACTGGGACTTTTTAAACTGGGGCTCATAGGCAGGCATGGGAAGCCTTAACATGAGTGTACACAAAATTCCATGACCAGAGTTATCACAGTCACGAAGGGGTCTGGGATCTAAAAAGACAACTCCTGCTGCAGAGGGGGTATGTGAACCTGCTAGAGAGTGCGAGTTTCAGTGCTCACTGGGAACGCCAGGCAACCTGGGCGGGAGAAACCGAAGAGACCCAAGCACCTTTGTTACTCAGAAAGAAAGCAGGCCAGGACAAAAGGAAGGGAGTCCTGTGAAAAGCACAGCATCTGTTCCCCAGTTCCTGCCAAACCGGACACCATGGTAACAGCATCATCATCTGCTGGGCCTCCTGAAGACTCTCAATGGTCTCTCCTCAGCGAACACCTGCACCTTTTCCAGGCACGCGGCGAGTGATCCACTCATCACGCCTCATTAGCCCAGGGTGGCGGTGATTACAAGAACGTGTGGGCAACCCACAGCTTCCGGGACTGAATCCTGGGCCCCCAAAATAAAACGGGGATGCTGGCTGCCCTGGGGATCAGAGACACAGCATTCCATCACTCGGGGCTGAGGCCAGGGGCAAGGGTACCAGATAAAATACAGATACAGGACACATAACAATATCTAAGGCACTCTTCTAAGAAACAATTATTCCTTGCTTACTTGAAATGAAATGTAAATGAGCAGCCTATTCATACTTATGTGCTGAATCTGTCAACCCTAGCACCCGGAAAGTAGCTGCTGGACATCCCACCCTTCCTCTCTCAGTTTCAGCCAAGGGAAACTGAAGCCAGGCTGGCAGCCCGAAGAGCAAAGCTCACGGTACACTGGCCCTCAAGGAGCTAGCCCACAAAGTCAGCCCTGTGGGAGTTCAGAGTCACCGGGGAGCTTTAAATACTGCGCAAACCCCAGGCGCATTACCAGGCGTTCTGATTTAAGCACCCTGAAATGAGGCCCTGGCTTGAGTCTATTTTTTAATTCCCTCAGATGATTTGAACGGAAAGCTAGGCCGAGAAGCACGGAGCTATTCGTTCTCAGACGTTAGCGCCATGAACAAGCACCTGATGGGTGGACCCTAACCAGTCTAGATCCTTACTACCCAGACTGTGTTCCCAACCCTCCGCCGGAAGCCTCAAATGGGAGCGCGCTGGAAGTGCTAGGACGCTCTCTAGAATCTCGGGAGCCATCTGCATTTTGAGAGGATATCCCAGGTGACGTGTTTGTCCATTAGCGTTTGGGAGGCCCTGGCCTAGAGAGATAGTTAACCCTTCCCGCGCCTCTGCGGCTGACTCTTCCATCCCCAGCCCCTTCTGAGCCGTCCCAGCTCTAGGGGGCCCGTCCTCGTGCAGTGACCCTCTCAGAACCGAGATTCTTCTGAAGCACAAAAAGGCCTTGGACAACATATCTGTCCTCATCAAACAATAGCATCAAGAATACCAACTTACCAATATCAAATTGTGCACAATGAACATTTGGTGTGCTTATAAAAGGAGCATGTATGGTTTTTTTTAAAATGAGTGAGGTAGGAGGCTGCTAACTACTTGCAATTATTTAAAGTGGCTGTAAAGAAAATAAGAAAAGGCATCATAAGGTGGGTGTAATTAGGGATAATGGAACAAAATTAAGCACAAGACAATGTACACTGCGTATTGAATACAATTTTTCTCAGCAAGGTCAGCGGTTCCTGTGGTTGTTCCATCAAAAGGACTGACCCCCCCTTTCTCCAAGTAAGTAATTTTCAAACTAGACTGAGGGGAGCATTTGGAGAGAGGTTACCAAGAAATCCTTTCCTGCCCAGGCGTTGATCTGGATGATTTAATATGGCACTTCCATTCCTGGAATTGGGTATTTACTCGCCAAAATGCTTTCCGCTTATTTTATTAACTATGCTTTTCAAATGCCCCTTTGAGGTCAATAAGAATTTTATTTCCACTTTTACACAAGGAATTTGAGACACAGAGGTAGGGAGACTTGCCCAAGGTCATCCTGCAAGTTAACAGCTGGTATCTGGGCAGTGATCTCACTGCTCACCTCTTAACTCTGTGCTAACTCTGACTCCTCTGGAGGTTGGGGAGGGGAAGATGACACATGGATGATGGCTGCAGGCACTTTTGAGTGTTTTTCTAATGTTCAGGAGTTTTGCCTGTGAATTACTGTGAATTATCCTGAAACGTCAGGCTATGATGGCAAATATGACACTCTGCGTCTGAGTGAATTCAACTTTTTTGGGGGGAAATGCAAACAATGCAATTGAATTAGATCTGTTTGACCATGTGTCTGAACGGTACGCTGTGGGTTAGTTTGAATTGGTCTGCAGTAACTCAAACTGGTTTGATTGGAAATCTTCCTCTTGTTGAAGTTGTCACTATTTTCTCAGACGTGAGTGTGGCCTTGTTACCACCGGCTCCTGCTGCATGTAGCCCACACAGGCCCGGAACCACACGAGAGCCTCTGAATGGAGTCCCACTCTCCGATTTCCAGACTTCCTCCCCTTAAATAAAATGAATATCTATAAGCCATTACCCTCAGACCACAAACACTCTTGTAAGCATGACCACTCTGCTTGGGTTTCGCCCTTTTATCTGCCTGTTTATAGACAAGGGGCACCGGGGGAAAACATGCCTGTAACGAATGAGGACATTGCTTACTTCTCCCAGTCTATTAACTGTACTTCATTCTGGCCATAAAGAAGTTCCCGGTCTCTTGTGTTAAATAAAAACAAATGTAAAGGGGGAGGGAGGGAATAATGGGAAATGCTTACCTACGTATCATATTTCTTTCGAGGTGGTCATTTTTATTGGCGTAGGGGAGAGACGGTGGTACATAGATTACGGGCGGATGCGGAAAGAGATGCGTCTTCCTTCACAGCCTTATTCTAATGCCCTCTGCCTTCCCATTGAGACTGAAGTCCACTCCATTGCTCTACTCCTAACTACCTCCAGTCAAGGAAAATAGCAAGGAGAATTTTATGCTCTCACTGAGCCCCATAATGCCAAGTCCTCCCTCGTCTTCCCAAAGAGGGGTCAATTTCAGTTCATCATTCTTCCAATGGACACCATCTACAAGTATATTTCAGGCTGTCTAATTCTACAGAAATAATCTCTCAGGTTTAGAATCTCCGCCTCTGTCCAACCCTCTGAAAAATGAATGCTTTGTGGAAATGCCATCTTTCTAACCTGCTTCCAGCCAACACATATTTACAGGGAAGCTTTCTCATCTAAAAGTCTGCTCGCAGTTACAGGGAATAAATAATAAATTGCTCTACCATGCAGCATTGACAGTACGGAACATGGCACCGTGCCTGGCCATGGATGGAACTGGGGGGAGCGCGTATGGAATGGATTTTACTGGGCACTTACTGGGTGGTCAGCATCGAGCTCAGAACCATACATGAGCACTCGGTGGGAGCACTTGTCCAATTCAGAGATCTTGCGCGGGAACCAGGGCACGTCCTCCAGCTCTGTGGAAAACACAGTGCAGGATCAGAAATGTTAGCTCACAGATCATGTGTAACCCTTGGCAACATCTGTCAGATCGCAAAATCACCCAGCAAGCAAAAAACTGGCCTTGCCTTCTTCCTCTGTCCAAATGCTCTCCGGCGGATTCAGCGTCAGGATTGTAGTCTGAAATTTCAGCGACTGGATGAGCTCATTGAACTCTGTTTTGCCACACTCAAAGTCCACAAAGATCTCCACCTCTGAGCTTCTTCGCCTGGATTTTCTGGACTCAATATGAACCATGTTGACATGTTTTTCCTGTGGGGATGTAAGTGACACCTCGGAATCACCTCCAGGCATAAGGAAAGGAATGCAACCAGCTCCTCTCCTTCAACTCTTAAACAAGGCGCCCACTGCAAAGGAAGGAAAGGCATTCTCCTTCCTCTTTGGTTAATGAAAATATGGAAATGTATTATTAGGAATAGAGACTGTAATCAGTTTTCCTGCTGGCATGACTCAGTGGTTGAAGGTCAACCTATGACCTGGGAGGTCACAGTTCAATTCCCGTTCAGGGTTGCAGGCTCGATCCCCAGTCTGAGGCATGCAGGAGGCAGTCAATCAATGATTCTCTCTCATCATTGATGTTCCTATCTCTCTCTCCCTCTCCCTCCTCCCTGAAATCAATAATAAAAAGGGGGACATTAATAGAAAGGGCCCTATAAAATTACAAACATCAGCATTCCCCAGAGCAGTCCACATCCCACTGGTTATTTGGGGAGGGGGAGGGGGATTAAGTTATATAATCCCCAGATTTCTATTTATATTTTCATATGCTTCCAAAAAACATGACTAAAAACTCAAAACCATCGTTTTATAATGGTATGAAGTTTCCACTGAATTTAAAGTTTAAAATTAAACTTTATAATGTTTAGAAATAAAATAATCTTTGAAAAAAAATAAGTAAATAGTACAAGAGGCAGAAACGGAGACGGTGTAATGGAAGAACTGAAGTTTGGGAAACATGGGCCGAAGTGTAGCCCGTATGGCAGGGAAAGAAAAGGAAAAAAGGCACCGAGTGTGGATCTCTGGAGGCCAAGAGAAACCAAACCCCAAATAAACAAATACCCTAAATGGGACCACTTAGGAACTGTTATCTCAGCCACCTCCAGGCTAGCTTCATAGAGAATGTTTTGTTGAAATCACCACCCCGTGATGAATTTCAGGAGTAAAAGTCTCCTTACAATAAGGTGTTTGAGTGATGGCAGCAATTTAATTCTTGAACCTCAGGTTTAAATTTCCCCGGGGATGAAGTCTTCCTTTCCCCTTGAGTTAACTGAAGACTTAAGTTCTCCTCTCCCCGCAACCCACCCCCACATAAGCAGGCCCCCTCTCATGGCTCCGGATGGCACACTCTGATTATCAGCACGATTCCTGGCACGGTCCTGGGCGGTCCCAGAATGCTCAGCACAGGAGCGGGAGAGGTGGTTTCCAGTGCCAATCAAACAGCATCCTAGTCCTGCGACTAGGAAACTAGTCCTGCGACTAGGAAACAAAATGCCATGGTTCTGTTTCGATTAACCTTTGCACTAATGCCACATTTTCTAAACTGGCCGACGATAAAGGTGAGACTAATACGAAGTTCAAAGTTCAAGAATTTTCACGCAAATTGTGTCCCTGAATGTCCTCCGCTTGAAGCCGAGCAGGTATTTTCAGATGAGGGAACCGAGGTCCATGTGGGGTAAGTGGTTTAGCTGAGACCACATGAATAGCTGGTGGCCAAGTGAAAAGGCAGGGTTGCTAACTCCTTCTCCAGGGTTTTCTCCGCTGCACCCAGCTGTCTAATTGCATGGCCCTGCCGTTGGGCACTGTATGCAGACAGCGCTGGATGATACAATTATGTGTAAAATATCCCCCCAGATTTCCATGAAAACTGTTTATGGTGCCTGGTCCTTTCTCCAAGGTCAAAAGAGAACAAGGAAATATTTGCCAAATCGGGCTGCTAATTCCCCCTCTACAGTCATCAAAGAGTCATTATAATAATGCCTCCTATCTGTACACTTGACCAAGCCTTGTCACTCATATTATCTCATCACAGCAACCTTGTTAGGTAAGAGGAATTATTGCTATTTCCAAATTGAAGAAATTGAATGTAGGGAGCAGCTATGATTTAGCTAAGCTAAGAGAACTCGGGTCTGAGTACTCTGATTGTAATTCCATCTGTTCACTGCACTAGGAGCCCCAGGCACCTCAAAGAGATCAGCACCCTATCTTATCTAATCAGCGGCCTTTGCCTCCCCGCAAAATGCTTCGGTAAAGGAGGGTGCCTTCTGAAGAGAAGAGGAACCATCGGGTATGCCCTGACAAGTAGGCAGTAGTTTTTCTGGATTTTTCTAACCTCATTCTCAACCAGGTTCTTTCTTCAGTGTTTAAACCACCCATTTGGGCCTGAAGAGGGAAAAAAAGAAGGCTACTGCATTTCCTTAAGCAAAAGAGAAAACTTAGATATAAGGAGAGTGACTCATCTTTACAAATGGCAAATTCATGAAACAAGGAGGCTTAGGGGAATACCAATTGCCTATCCTCAGGCATCTCATTTTATGCAGTAAACGTGCTTCCAAGACATGGGCATGATTCAAATGTTAAATCAAATCGGGCTGCAGCCTCTTAATATTTAAAGAGATCCTGGCTCTTTTTGTGTTTGTATTTCCAGGTGTGAGGCTCACATTTTTTAAATCACTAACTGCTTCACCTGACAACAGTCTGCAGAATTACAGAGTAGGCTAACTCTGAACTCATAAAACATAGTTCCCACTTCTCTGCTCATCTCATTGCTTGGCAGACCAACTCCCCTTGTAAAGCCGGATGAAGTTTGTTTTCTTTGAACCTTTCAACACATTATCCAGAAATGACTCAGTGATGTTTTGTAACAGACAACAGATTTGTAACCAGGCACACAGTCACTTTGTAAGGTTTGTAATGATAGTATACATTCACCTGAAAGAGTTTCAGCGCTTTGACCAATCCACCAACTTCATTTTTCAAAGAGAATACAACCGCCGTCTTGCCACTTTCCGTAGCAGTTTCACTTTTGCTGCTTCCCTTGTTGCCTTTCTTATCATCATTTTTGCCAGAGTTTGCTTTATTTAGCTTTAAAAAGGTAGAAGCACACACATACACACATATTAGTTAGGAGTTCTCTTTCACTATATTTTTTCAGAGATCCTATTCATATGCTGGAAGCCCAGTAATCATATAAACTCAAGAAGGTGCTATGTCAGTTTATAACTTTTGATCCTAAACGTTGGTCTAATTTACTCTTGGAAACTATTTTCCACTGCTCTAAAACATCATCCAATGGGGGAAATTAAAGGGGGACCAGGTTTGATTCACTTTAAGAGCAACAAACAAAGGAAAAAAGAAGAGAGAGAGAGAGAGAGAGAGAGAGAGAGAGAGAGAGAGAGAGAGAGAGAGAGAGAGACCTAATCATTAGGCACAAAGGGTAGAATCTGAGAAACTAAAAAGACTAACACTTTAGCCATTCAGGAGACGAGATATATATATATATATATATATATATATATATATATATATATATATATATATAACTATTAGTCCTTTTGACTAAAAATACAAATGGCAGCTTCCAGAAACTCGGGTCACATTGTAAAAAATGCAGAATAAAAAAGCTGGAAAGTTTGACAAAGCAAACCTAGGGTAGAGTCTTTTGTACATGCAAATGAGGAACTGGGTAAACAGAACTTTATCCCTGGCAGATAGGGATTCAATACAATCTCACCCATCTATTAGTTCCTCATGAAACTGAGGAAGTATGTTAAACATAGGACCCAGTGGATAGTGATTTGCCACGTCTTCCTCTGATTTTCTACTGGCTTTATATTCACGTGTTAGTATTGTCTCACAAGATATGTATATCAGTATAAATATTTTATTACTTATGATTTGAAGGAGAAAAATGTTTATGCAGATATTGGAGTTTAATAGTATGTTTAGTCATTAAAAGTTCAAATGTCGTGGTACTCTCACCATCTGCCTCCTCCTCACCACCTAACACAGATATCTTACATATTTAAGTAGCATAACTCTGAGTTTTCCTTCTAGCAATACATTATTATTTCAAAATTCCTCCATGGAATATCTCATCCAAATATTCATATTTAAATGTTAGAAAATCTATGTTTAAGTTTTTTTGGTCTTATTTTTGCATATTGATTTAAATAGCTCTAAACAAATTGTCCTGATTACTTTTCAACATTTTTAGCAGTAATAATATACCAGTACAATACAACCCTCCAGCACAGCGTTGGAGCTACAATATTAAAACAAATTTTTCTATGATACAGACTGAACTATTATTATTGGTTGATAAAGTCTGGTAGTATAATAATGAAATAACATTTAATATTTTTAATGAATAGAAATATGAATACATTTTTCTTTCAGAGTCTTTTTCTTATTAAATCCCATGACTATTCCCTCAAATCAGAATCTAAAATCCTGCAAAATGTTACATTTTTATTCTCTTAATCTTTAAATATGAAAACTATCTTAAATGTTGAAACAAGTGGTGCATTGCTTTCATATTCCATCAATTAAACTGAATAAAATGGAGTACTGAGCAACGCAGGAGACTGTTGAAAGGAATTCAATCTTTCTTTTATTCCAATAACCAACACCCATAGAGTAAAGTAGAAAAGAATACTTCTGTGTTTGAAGGTCAGTCGTTGTAGATGGAATGGGGTATAGAAGAAGCAGTAATCTTGCAGGAACCCTGAAAGTCTATTTCATTTCTTCTCCCTGATCCTTCTCATAATAAATGGCCTTTCAAAATTCAACACACTTTCAGGGGTGTGAATGTACCCCATTGGCCCATATAACCTTTCGTTGATGTTCAGGACCTTCTTTGCTTTCTACCTATACGTTCTGAGGAAAAGAAGTTCAGCATGTAGCAGTCAGTACACTTGTTTTGCTTTATGGAGAGAGAAGGAAGCCTGGAGGCAGACAGGAGAGAGGGTACACAGATAGAAGAAGGAGTTGAGGTGTGTGTGCTCACTCTACACCAAGTGACAATATGGCAGGATGAGACAATTGCTACCCTATAAAATACTCTCTAGACTAATTCCAGATTCTCAGTACTCACTGTTAAGCTGCCAAGTGGCTGATGCTCTTCGGGCACCGCTGAATCCAGAGAAAGCCCTCTCCTTGCCCAGTATTTACTGGAAAACATCATCATTGCCGGCTGCATGGATCCCGATGTAATTTTCTTTCTCTGCAGCAGGGGGGACTAGAGGGGTGGTAGCTGCGCTCCTGGAGATTGAGAAAGGAGCTTGAGATCAGCAGCCCACTCGGGGCGCTGTCCAGAACCCTGGTGCTGAAGAGCAATGTGAATCCTCCCCTCCCAGGGCTCCTTTATATGAGTGACTGGGGACTGATGGAAGGCCGATAAGAAAGAAACTCATTTCTGGCTGTTGATGGCCACAGTCAGATTACAGACCTGAAGCCTGGGGTTATCTGTGCTCATGATGCGATTTGTTTCATAGGTCGAGTAGCCGCTTGGACGTGGGTGATGGAGAACAATGCATAATAGGGTGTTATTTGTAAAAGAAAATATCTGTCCCTGATGTTAGCTCTCATTTCTCAAACCCACTACTGGCAAGTTAACCTCAGTCTTTAGGTGACTATGAATTCAAAGATTTTGTGCCCTTTTCTTTTTCAAAAGAAGGGCAATTTTTTTTTTTTTTTTTTTTTTTTTTTTTTAGAAAAATCAGCACTGCTGAATCCCCATTTTATTTTATATGAATAAACTTTTTCTGATCTGATGTGTGTGGACATGTGCACGTGTGATGGCTTTTATAAAGGCACTGCTTTGCAATTGTGTGATGATGCCGTTTTGTGGTAACAGTCAGGCAACTGTAAAGAAAATGTGAGGCTTTGATTTAGCCACACATACATAGATTAGTCATATGTTTGACTAACCAAATAGATATACTTGACCCTAGAATCTTTCTCACAAAGTGGGAAGGGAAGGAAACAAAATGCCCATTCAGTCATTCTTTTGATGCTATTGATGGTTAGTGATTTTTTTTTCTTTATTGATTAAGGTATTACATATGGTTAGTGAATTTTTCCTCTTCACTTGTAACTAGATCAAATCCAACAATTCAATTTGAAGTGCATATCGATATACTTTTAATAAATTTTTATTGTTCATATTATTACAAATGTTCCTTCCCCCCCCTCCACTGCTCTCCTCCACCAGGTTCCCACCCCACCCTCTGCCCCCTCCCCACCCCCCCCATTGTCCTCATCCATAGGTGCACAGTTTATGTTCAGTCTCTTTCCACATCCCCCTCGCCCCTTTCCCCATGAATCGTCAGTTCACTCCCCTTCCATACCTCTGATTCTATTATATTCAACAGTTAATATTGTTCATCAGATTTTTTTTTAATTTCCTTGGTTTTTATATTCACTTGTTGATAGTTACATATTTGTTGTTCATAATTTTTATCTTTATTTACTTTCTCTTCTGAAAGAACCCCCTGCAGCAATTCATATAATTCTGGTTTGGTGGTGATGAACTCCTTTAGCTTTTTTTTATTAGTGAAGCTCTTTATCTGGCCTTCGATTCTGAGTGATAGCTTTGCTGGATAGATTATCTTTGGCTGTAGGTTCTTACTATTCATCACCTTGAATATTTCTTGCCATTCCCGTCTGGCCTGCATGGTTTCTGTTGAGAAATCAGCTGACAATCGTATAGGTGCTCCTTTATAGGTAACTACCTGCTTTGCTCTTGCTGCTTTTAATATTCTCTCTTTGTCTTTTGCTCTTGGGATTTTATTATGATGTGTCTTGCTGTGGTCCTCTTTGGATTCCTTTTGTTTGGAGTTCTGTGCGCTTCCTGGACTTGTAAGTCTAATTCTTTCACTAGGTGGGGGAAGTTTTCTGTCACTATTTCTTTCAGTATGTTTTCGATATCTTGCTCTCTCTCATCTTCTGGGACCCCCATAATTCTGATGTTGGTTCGCTTGAAGTTGTCCCAGAGGTTTCTTACATTATCTTCAATTTTCTGGATTCTCTTGCCTTCTATCTTCTGTGGAGGAGTGTCTTCTGGCTCTTTATATTCCCAATCTTTGACTTGATTCTTGCGATCTTCCATTCTGTTCTTAGGACTCTGTATAATATTTTTTATTTCAGAGAATGTTTTCTTTATTTCTTGTTGATCCCTTATCATTTCTTGTTGATTCCTTATTAATTCTAGTTGATCCCTTTTCATATCCTCATAGGTCTTATCGATCTTTTTGGGAAATTCTTGAAAAACCTTATAAGCGTAGATTTGAACTCTATATCCAGTTGCTTTTTGTCCTCCAGTTCTTTCGTTTGTGATCTATTTCGATGCCTTGGCATTTTCACAGTTTCCCTGAGGGGGGCGGGGTTTCAGGGTGGAGCCCTACAGCTTTGGCTTCTGTCAGCCCCACCCTATGCGGCTCCTGCGTCTCAGGGTCCTTCAGTACTCCTTGCAAGTGCCTCTGAGAGAAAGGTGCCCTCGATTTTCGCCTGCTACCAAATAGTCTAGGCTTTCCCCAAATGAGCCCGGTATTGGGGTTCAGTTCAGTTGGAAGTGGGATTGGAGGTGGCGTTCAGAGCAGTCCGGAGCCCTAGTCTCCTTCCCGCCAGGGCAATCCTGCAGCACAGCCAACAGTCCCTTCTCTGCGCGCAATGTGCACGCCTCCGGGACTTCCTTTCACCCCTTCCCTGGGGTTCCACCCTACAGCCCAGCTCCCTCTGTTTGAGCCTGGGTCCCCAAGGTCTGGCCTAGAACTGGGGTTCAGAGCAGGAGGAATTGGGGCCCAGCACAGTCGGAGCTTTTATCTCCTTCCCGCTAGGGAATGCCAGCCAGGCACTCAGCTGCCCCACCCTTCCTCTCCGGCTCCGTCCTCTCCACGCACTGTGCGTCTCCGTACCTTAGGCTTTTACAGCTCCTCCGCTCTTCCTTCTGGCCTTCTCCTTGCTTCTTGTTGTAGAATTTACAGTCAGTCGACTTTCCTGTAGTTCTGGGTAATGTCCATTTTATATTTTAGTTGTATCTTATTGAAATTGTTGTGTGCAGCTGCGGCTAGGTGTCTACCTGTTCAGCCATCTTGGATTCTCCTGAAGTGCATATCGATATACTTATTTAAACTTTGAAAAGTCATAAAATTCACCATGTCACAGAACACTATTGCCAACCGCTTGAGGGGTGGATGGAAGACTCTTGACCAAAGGCAGTTGTTTGTCTGCAAAATTAACGAAAGCCTGGAGCTGACACTGCATGTTAACATAGAAAAGATGACTAAAAATTTCAAAACAGAAATAGATGGACTAATTTTAACTGAATTTTCATTGTTCCTGGAGTCTTGAGGGACAATCATTATTATTTTATCTAATTTTGGAAATATTATTTGACTTGCATTTTCTCTAAAAATCATTTCTGACCAGCTAAGAGGAAAGTCAAGTTTAAATACATTGACTGGAATAATGGTAACATTAGCTAACATTCCTGAGTGCTTAGCATTTTATTTCTATTCTAAGCATATTTTTTTAAGTAAAATAGAGATTCACCATCACAAAAGCACCTACAAGACAGAAACTATTATTTAGATTTTACATATGAAGAAACTAAGGCACAAAGAATATAGGTTTACACAATTAAAGAGTAATTGAAACAGTATATAAATTCATGCGGTCTGACTCCAAAATCCATGCTCTCAACTATTACATTATATAGTTTCTTAAATATTTCAAACAAGGAAAAACATCTTAACAAAAAAAATTACACTCAAGAAACCATACAAAGATTATTTCAGCAAAACAGGGTTTGGGAAGATGTGTAATTCAACAAAAGTTTGTTAGGCACTCACTTTGTGTTAGGCATTGAAACTGAATCCTAGGATGTAAGATGAATGAAATACAGTGCCTACCTTCAAGAATATCACAGACTAGCTGAAAAAGCATACATGCAAATAAATGAGCAAAATATATTTATTTCATAGGAAGACATTAAAGAACAAGGGAAACAGTGCTTAATGCCACCTTAGGGGAGTCAGAAGAGACTTGTAGGAGGTGTGCCTGAGCTGAATATTTAAACTTTGATTTTGTGCCCGAGCCAGTTTGGCTCAGTGGATAGAGGGTCAGCCTGCAGACTCAATGGTCTCAAGTTAGATTCTGGTCAAGGGCACGTGCCTGGGTTTCAGGCTCGGTCCAACGTGCAGAAGATTCCCTCTCATATTGATGTTTCTATCTTTCTCTTCTTCTTCCTTCCTCTCTGAAATCAATAAAAATACATTTTAAAAAATAAAAATGAGTTTGTGTTGTCAGAAGGGCATGGAAAATGGTCAGAGACATATTTCATCTACAGAAAATAATATAAGAAAATATGGGGGTCTTAGCAGCTTGGGCAGCTGGAGAAGTGGCAGTGGCCAGGCAGCCCAGGTTTGAGAAGTCACTAGGTGCACTGTGGCCCTCAGGCACCCAGCACATGCCCTCCCCTCTGCTACAATGCCCTCGAGGAAGGTCAGCTCTGCCAAAGTGTCGGCCAAGGAGAAGCCCCAGAGGAGGTGGGTGAGGTGGTCAGTCAAACGTGCTCCTGCAAAAGTGGAAACACAGCCAAAAAAGATGGCAGGAAAAGATAAATCTGCAAACAAAGGGAAAGCAGGTCGGAGTGACTGAGTAGAAACCTAAAAGGAGATCTACCTGTGGATAACAGAGAAACTAAATATGAGGAGAGTTCAGCCTCAAATGAAGCAAGAGAAGCCATGTGTGATTAATGTCATAAACCATGTCTTATCAGTGGTCCCTGTCTCCCTTATTGTATAATCCAGAAGAATATTTTTATCAATTATTTTATAAATGCAAAATTCATTTTTGAGGAGGAAATCCCATCTCATCCTATTTTTTAAGTGTAAATGCTTTTTTTTTAAGAGGTGAAATCATTTGCTGGTTGTTTATTTTTTGCTACAACCAGAAAATAGTGGCATATTGAACATGGGAGGCTCTGATTGTCTTGGGTGTCAGCTTAACATTCCATAGATGGGGGCAGTTCTATATCCTACACTACAAAGCACACTAAATGGCAATTTAGAGTCAATCGTGCATTTGCTATTTTGAACATTTTTAAATTACTTCTAGTCACATGTTTTGGATAGAATGGTTTCCTAAAGAAAACCACTTCTTGATCTTGGTTCTCCCTTCCAGAATTTTGTGTATTTT